AAGGTTTCAGACTGCCTCTCAAGGAGACTCATCATTTCAGACACAACTGTGCCCTTACACAGTTACACTGCTCCCAAACCACAGCTGCTTCTTCTTTCCAGCCTCCTCAGAGCCTGGCCATTTCCACATAGGTCATGCACGTAGGTGCATGGTCATCCATCATGTAGGTCCACATAGTCACACACTGTGAGCTCCAAGAAATATCAGTACCTTGCTGTAGCTCCTTATAGACAGCACTGAATCATTTTTTTACTGCAAAGAATTGCAAGGTACAGGTGGGAACACAGAACAAGCTGGCAAAGCCAACAAGTAGTAAATGAACAATGTCTGTGAGGCAAGACCCCATCCTCAGACTGCATAACTGCTCCACATCCCCTCTGGCTGCTCTGAACAGCTAATGGGACACTACATGTGACTACTAAACACATCCCTTCTCCCATGTTAACTCCCTGATGTACCATTTGTTGGGTGTTTAGCAGAATCAAAAACAGGGCAGGTCTCTCCTCAGTCTATAGAGTGTGCGGGGCCCAGAGTCTGCCCGCTGTCTGCCAGGTGGGAGGCTCTGCCTGCCTAGGGTGCAAACCTCCTCCATACCATCCTGGCTTTGACTGGGGCCCACAAACCACCTCGAGCCATATTTTGGCCTCTCTGCAGCCTTCAGTGCTTTCTCCAAGCCTTGCCTCGGTGCCACCTCCAGGCTGTGGTGGGCTGCTGCACTAGCTCGATTCCGTACACCACAGCCATCTCCACACATTTTCATGCTCTCCCGACCATAATACCTTAAAACCTCTCAGTATAAAGGTGTCTCCTGACATCTCACTCTGGGCTGCCCACAGCCTCTTTTGCCTGCTCCGTGTCTTCAACCTGCCTCACTGCCTTGTCTGTGCTGGCTCCTGCTTCCAGGGTGCCTCAGGAGCATGTCATCCCTCTGGGCTGCACCTGTTTCTTTTTTGTCATCTCCCTTAAAAATTCTGCTGGGCCATCAGTCATAATTCATCTAAAAGCCTCACAGGAGGATGGCTTCAGCGTAGCCCTAGCAAACGGGTTGCCCCGAGTCAGTCCCCTCGCTGAAGTGTATGGTTTGTCTGGAGCCTGGCATACCTGCCATTAAGGAAAGGGAATATTAACAAAAAATAAAAAATCCATTACATTTTTAATTTAAGTTTTTCTTATTACAAACGTAATCATTAAAGAACTCAGAGTGCTATTTCCATTTTCATAAAATGGAAATATTTCGATATTAAAAAATGTGAAAGAAAACTTCCAACAGCTTTAATTTTAATCTATACAGGTTTGTACAACATAAGAACTGAAAACCTAGGGACAGAAATCTGGTATTACTTCTTTTGGCATGGGAATTATAAAGAAATCTGAGGGTGATATTCATTATTTTTATTTCTACGGGGCTTAGAAAGCCTACTCAGGAACAAGGCTTTCTTTGTACCAAACAGTACAAGAACAGAACAGAAAAGACAGTCTTAGACCATACCTATTCAATCCAATCATGCCTGTCACAGACAGCCATGAAGTAGTACTGACCCAGACTTGTACATCTATAAAAGGCATTGAAGGTTTGTCTAGAAATACTTACCAAAGTCCTGGAAACATTAAATATTTCATTAGCATAGTCCTATGCTTGAGCTAATAAACCCTATGTTTGAGTATTTAGGAGCCAGATATCACCTTTACATTAATTCTAATTCATACATATAATTTAAAATATGGCTGTATTAGAAGGCTGCACTAAAACCAAAAGTAGTTTATTTCCAAATTTTACCTTTATCCTGTTGGCACCTCTGCCAGTGAAAAAGGTTCTCTTGCTGCCACCTTCAGATGAGCCTCCTGCTACTGTGGTTTGTCAGTGGCCAAAGGTCTACATGAGTCTGATGAGAGAATGACGAAATGAGCTGTAGATGAGAACTGGGCAGTATTGGAGCAAAATATATAAAGCAAAACATTTAATCTTGCTTTCTTGGCATATTTTTAGCATGTGATCTGAGTGACGCAGGCTGTGCATGCAGACTAGACTGGAACAGATAAAAAAAATACCTCTTTTCAGAATATGTGGGAAGTTCATACTCACAGGAAGTCAGAAAATGAAATACTTGTGGACAGATTTTAAAGGATCATAAAGTTTTATGAGTTATAAAAGCTAAATCTGGGCCTGAGCTATTTAGTTCTGCTCAAAAATAAAATCAAAATAAGAATTTGGCTCCAGTTGTATTAGAAATTAGAACTGATGGTAGAGTTACATTTTGGATCTGGGTACGCAGAATTCAATGAACAGACTTGCATTAAACAACGTGATTAAAAATGCTCAGTTGCTGTCTGTTCCTGTTTCCTTTCTGACTATGATCTTCATGGCAATTCATCCATGTCTGCTCCATTCAGAGTAAGATGAGGTGACTGTTAACACCTTATATATAACATCTGTAACACCCCATTCACACCCTATTCACCTCTTTGCACAGCAAGTTAAAAGTGAGGTAATTTAAGTAATGCTTTGTTGTTTCAAGTTACATTAGATTCTATTCTAAAATCAAAAAGTGGCAGAGAATACAGTGAAAAAGAAGGCACTTTAAAAAATAAGGATTTTTTTCAGATTTGCTGTGATTTAAACAGCAAAATTAAATTGCTTCCAAGAAATCTAGAAAATATTAATTTCTCTAATTTTTATGGTAAACAATTTAACCTTATTTCCACCATTATCCTGTATTTGCTAAATAGCTTCATATAAATATGGGTCCGTTATGTACTGTGTACTGAAGGATTAAAAAGGAAAGTACTATAGTCCATGAACATGCAATGTCATTCTTTTTTCTGGGGCAGAAAGCTGCATGCTTAAAGCTACTGTACAGACAGACATAAATAGAGATCCATCCTGACATGCTCTTAGGGATGAGGATTATTGTACTTTTTTTCCCAATTCCTGTCACAATGGGTCCACTTTGTAATCCTGTTTCTTGGCTTCTGGGCATGCCCTCCTCCAGTACCCAGCAAGAGTAAAAGGAAGAGAGAAATAAGAAACAAAAAAGGGGACCCATCAAACAACCCAATACCCCAGCCCAGCAGGTGAAATATCTAACCACTCCTCGTGTATACATTTTTATTTCATTGGCTTAGATCATACATATGTTTTCCTTATTGTTTTTCTTTGTTTCCATCATAACAAAATTAGTTAATCTATATCTTCACTTTCAAATTATTTGAAAGGGGTTGGAACACAGAAAAAAATTGCAAGTAATATTAAAATGTTAAGCACTTCAAAGTGGGAGATGTCAGAATTACGATTATATAGGTACCATCCCCCTCTTGCTGATATGCATTAGTTACACAATCACAGCTCATAATTTATTTACTTCAAAATGGTTTTGTTTTATTTTCTTCTGCTTTGGTCAGAGTGCAGAGTACCAGGTGCTTAAGAATTCAGTTGTGCATTTATTAAATACAAGATCTTTTTTATTTAATTGATTGTCTTAATGTACACTACAGTGTGTGCCATTATTCCTGTGGTAATAGCATTTAGAGACACATTCAGAGGTTGGAAGTAAAGGTAGGGTATGTGGTAGACATTAACATAGCAAAAGAGACCCCTTGCCCCAAAAACTTCCCAAGCTAGACAAACAGAGGAGCCATGGGTTACAAAAGCAGTAAAAATCGATTTGCCCAGGGTCCTGTCCACTTATCAGCCACACAGTAGTTAATGCAGCTTTGGCAATAAATCTGTAGCCCAAAACGCAGTTTCTGGACACAATGTGGTTATGCTGGAGAGTTTTGTCCAGCTACCTTTACCCTGTAGTGCTGGATTATTCTTTGCCTGAAGAAAGCAAGAAGAGTAATTAAAACTGGTGATAACGCCCTGGAATTCAGACTGTAATGGATGTCACACATTGTACAATACAGATACCCTCTGAAATTAAGAGGATACAACAGACATGAATCTCACTGCTTCTTTACCAGTGAGGCACAGGGAATGTTGCTGTGGCATACTTGGAGCTTAATGACTTATTTATACATTATCAGCAACAGTTTAAACTATATCCTAGGCCTCTCCTTTGACAAGGGAAGTGGCAAGATTTTTTAAAATAGAGATTTTTACAGATGATATCACAGACTGGTTGACAGAGATAACTGGGATTGCAACATCAAGTTTTATATTGTTTGCCATAGAGCAGTCCTTTCTCTAATGGACTCTTAGAACAATTTAATTGCTCCCTTTGATGGATTTACATTTGTACATTTACATGTACACAGATTCAAATCAACCATGGGATGAAATAGTACCTGCATGTAAACATGAGACTATTCCTATATAGACACATTAAAAAAGGAAACTTCACAGAACTCCCTTATTATTACAGCTGAATGACCCAGAAAGAGGATTGTGCTAAACTTTGTTCATGAGTGTCAGGCTTCATTCAAGACACATGTGACAGCAATAGAGTGCACCTAGCCAGGGTTAGACCATCTTTAGACTCTTCCCTCCATATGTAACAACATTTTGACAGCAGTACAAAAATGTGCTTTTCCCTGATTCCCGAGCCTATTATTGTCACTACCTCCAGCAAACAGAATGGCTGGGGTTGCAACTCATTTCAGACTTAAAGCCAGGAATCTGTTCTTGCATGTCTTTGGCATGTCATGCTGGAGTTCAAAATGAGTACAGCCTGCAGCTGCATCCCCCATATTCTGATCCTCTTTCAAACTCTTAATACAATAGGGTCTCAAATACATTGTGAGCAGAAGAAAACAACCCCCCCACATTCTATTTTGGTATGTTGAGCCTAAAGTCTATTGGCTGGGAGCTGTCATCAGACATGACCATATGTTACCCAACAGCATTACAAGTAAATCCTAATTGAGTGCAAATTGTGAAGATTAAAGTCACCTCAGATTTAGCTGTATTATGTTGAGGCAAATGTGTTTCAAAGTCCTGTTTAAAATGTTGGCAATTCTCAGCACAGAAATTAACAGGCTGTCATTACCTTGGATTTTATAAGCTGTGCTAAATGTCTGGAGTTCCTTGTTTGGAGCCCTCAGTCAGAGAATGTAAGAATAGTCCTTTGCATCTCAGGCTGCAAAATACCAAAGACAATGTATTATCAACAATTTTGGAAAAAATATTAAATATTGATACAACTAAGTCACTGAAAAATTTCTTGATGTAAGCTTTTCGTAAATAAAGGTAAAAGGCAGGATGATTGCTGTTCTAACTGTGGTTAAAATCAGTTTTGCATTTAAGCAATTCACTTGCAGGATAGGCCAGGACCAGTTTATAACAGGCAATGCATTACCTTTTGGAAACAATTAACTGCTAGAAAGATGTTCCTTAATGATTGAAGTTTATTACTGTTTCATAAGAGGTCTGTGAAGTAGTAAGGAGCTGAACTCTGTCTATTGGTGCACTTTGGATGATGTACTCCGTTTTAATGAGATTAAAGGTTTAATGCAGATAAAAGATCTGTTCAGTGCACCTGGATTCAACACAAGGGTTTCAGTGTGATTCACCGAGAGTCATTGCAGAGCTATGTTCATCTTGATCAATAAGAGCTTCTGACTTCTTTTCTATTCCATACAAAGACAAAATGATCAGGACACATTTCTTGCTGTTTTCAGCACTGATCATGTGCAGCATACCTGCTGAGGAAATCTTTCAGCCAACTCTAGTGCTGGACATGGCTAAAGTCCTTCTGGACAATTACTGCTATCCTGAAAACCTAGTGGGAATGCAAGAAGCCATTGAACAAGCAATCAAAAGCGGGGAGATCCTGGACATCTCAGATCCAAAATTGCTGGCCAGTGTCTTGACAGCTGGAGTGCAGGGTGCTCTGAATGACCCAAGACTGGTGATTTCCTATGAACCATTACCACATGCAGCTCCCAAACAAGAAGCTGAGGTTTCCCCTACTCGTGAACAACTTCTGAATCTTATTGAGCATGTGGTCATGTACGACAAGCTGGATGGCAATGTTGGCTACCTGAGGATTGATTATATCATAGGACAGGAAGTTGTGCAGAAAGTTGGACCTTACCTGGTGGACAAGGTGTGGAAGACACTGATAGACACCTCTGCCCTGGTGATAGATCTTCGTCACAGCACTGGGGGACAGATTTCTGGCCTCCCCTTCATCATCTCATACTTGCATGAAGACAGGGTGCTGCATGTTGAGACTGTATACAATCGGCCCTCCAACACCACCACAGAGATATGGACACTGCCAAAGGTGTTGGGAGAGAGGTACGGCAAAGACAAGGATGTCATTGTTTTGATCAGCCGCCACACCACAGGAGTGGCTGAAGATGTGGCTTACATCCTCAAGCACATGAACAGGGCTATCACTGTTGGAGAGAAGACAGCTGGGGGCTCACTGGACATCCAGAAGCTGCGTATTGGCCCCTCCAATTTCTATATGATGGTTCCTGTGTCACGATCTGTGAGCCCTTTGAGTGGGGGTGGACAGAGCTGGGAGGTGAGTGGGGTGATACCATGTGTGGCTACTGAGGCAGAGCAAGCCTTGCAGAAATCCTTGGACATCCTGGCAGTGCGCAGAGCAGTGCCTGGCACCCTAAGCCACCTCACAAACATTTTAAAGGACTATTACAGCTTAGTGGAGCGAGTGCCACCGCTGGTGCGGCACCTCATCACCTCTGACTTCTCTTCTGTGCAGTCATCAGAGGACCTGGCCACCAAACTCAACAATGAGTTGCAGACCTTATCTGAAGATCCCCGCCTGTTGGTCCGAGTCATGATGCCAGGTGAAACTGCCGCTCCCCCAGCTGAGCAGCCAATTGCAATGGCAGCCAACTTACCTGACAATGAGCAACTGCTGCATGTCTTGGTGGATACTGTCTTCAAGGTGTCGGTGTTGCCAGGCAATGTTGGCTACATGCGCTTTGATGAGTTTGCAGATGCCTCTGTGCTTGCTAAGCTGGGACCTTACATTGTCCACAAAGTGTGGGAGCCCCTTCAAAAAACAGAGAACTTGATCATAGACCTACGTTACAACCCTGGAGGCCCATCCTCCTCTGCTGTGCCTGTGCTACTTTCCTATTTCCAAGACCCTGCTGCTGGTCCTGTCCATCTCTTCACAACCTATCACAGGTGCACCAACCACACACAGGAGCACAACAGCCAGGCAGAACTGCTGGGTCAATCCTATGGAGCTCAACGTGGTATCTACCTGCTCACCAGCCACCACACTGCCACAGCTGCTGAGGAGTTTGCTTACCTCATGCAGTCCCTGGGCCGTGCCACACTGATTGGTGAGATTACAGCAGGAAGCCTCTTGCACACCCGTACCTTCCCTCTGCTGCAGCCTGAGCTGGGAATAACTCGTGGACTAACTATCACAGTTCCTGTTATCACCTTCATTGACAACCATGGGGAAAGCTGGATGGGTGGAGGAGTTGTTCCTGATGCCATAGTGTTGGCTGAGGATGCACTGGAGAAGGCTGGAGAAGTGCTAGCCTTCCACAAGACCATGGGAGTACTTTTGGAGGGTACCGGGCAGCTCCTAGAGGCTCACTATGCCATCCCAGAAGTGGCTGGTAAGGCCAGTGCTATGCTCAATGCCAAACGGGCCCAAGGAGGTTATCGATCAGCGATAGACCCCGAGACTTTGGCTTCCCAGCTTACCAGCGACTTACAGGAGGCCTCTGGGGACCATCGGCTTCACGTCTTCCACAGCCATGTGGAACCAACACCAGAAGAACAGCTTCCCAATGTGATTCCCAGTCCTGAAGAGCTGAGCTACATCATTGACGCACTCTTCAAAATTGAGGTATTGCCGGGAAACCTGGGTTACCTTCGCTTTGATATGATGGCTGAGGCAGAAACAGTGAAGGCCATTGGGCCCCAGCTGTTGCAGATGGTATGGAACAAGTTAGTGGACACAGATGCCATGATTATTGACATGAGGTACAACACAGGTGGCTACTCCACTGCTATCCCAATACTTTGCTCCTACTTCTTTGAGCCTGAGCCTCGGCAACACCTCTACACTATCTTTGATCGCAGCACCTCCCGCAGCACAGAGGTGTGGACTCTCCCCCAACTCAGTGGCAAGAGATATGGCTCCCTCAAGGACATCTACATCCTAACAAGCCATATGAGTGGCTCAGCAGCTGAAGCTTTCACTCGCTCTATGAAGGACCTACACCGGGCTACAGTTATTGGTGAGCCCACAGTCGGTGGATCTCTCTCAGTGGGCATTTATCGTGTTGGTAACAGTTCCCTGTATGCCTCTATTCCCAGCCAAGTGGTGCTCAGCCCAGTCACTGGTAAAGTATGGAGTGTCTCTGGGGTGGAGCCACACATCACCATCCAGGCCAGTGAAGCCATGGCTGTAGCTCAGCACATTGCCAACCTCCGTGCCCAGGTGCCACAGACACTGCAAACTGTAGGCAAGCTTGTGGCAGATAATTATGCCTTTCTGGACATTGGGACTGTTATAGCATCCAACCTCACCAAGAACATCAACAAACACAATTATAAAAGGATTAATACAGAAGAAGAGCTGGCCAGGAAGGTGACTACCATCTTACAAGCTCTTTCTGATGATGAACACCTGAAATTACTTTACATCCCTGAACATGCCAAGGACAGCATCCCTGGAATCATGCCAAAACAGGTACAGTTTTCTTGTACCCAAGTATAGTGATGCCACCTAGAATGGGAGCACTGAGACAGATACTCTGTCTTGTTTCTATCCCATATCATAAACCCACCAGGATTTACCTGTACCCAGAGGAGAAGCCAATGGCTGAGTAGGTTTCATATGCTGAGCTGTCTCTGACACTAAGGCAAGTCAGGGTAGTAACTTGTGGTAGTAGATGATAGTTCTGGATGCATGCATTTTGGGAACAACCTTCAGGCTGTGAATCTCTTTCAATTGCTGTCTGCCACAAGCAAATATACAGGGTTTCACGGTAAGAGGGAAGATATCTCACTGTCTCTGTGATCCCTGCTCTTTCAGTGCCACCGCTTTTCAGGCTGTAATAAATGAATGCAGAAACCCACCAGTTACAAACCCAGGTTGTAATTTAAGGAGAATTTGGTTGGACCAGAGTAAATGCATACACAGACTAAACATGTAGCCACATACTCTCTGATGGATTTTTCTGTATAAAACTGTAGTAGCTGACATCAAGCTACACCAGAATAATTAGCAACTTCTTTGGTAGTGACAGTGGAAAGTTGTTCTGATTTTATCTCATGCTCAGTGACAGACAGTTTTCCAGTGACCTAGAAATACTTTGGAAGAAGTATCTGGGTGGAAGTTAGGTGACCCCAGAGAAAAATTGATTTTTAATAATCTACTTTTGCCCTTGCTGCGCGGTTTGCGTAACAGTCCATGCTTTGTTCTGAGCCTGAGTGTTTATACATTGGTCTGCCTTGGCAATCTTTCTTGTTCATTGTTGTGCTGAAGGGAGCTCCCAGGAGCACTTGTTAAAATTCCATCTTCAAATTAAATAGAGGGTTAGGATAACCTGATCCCTTTCTTGGATGGAGTTAGCTCCTTTCTGGCTACTGTGCTAGAATTGCTACCAGAAATGTATGTTCTCCAGGGACTCATAAAATTACTTTTTGAAGAGAGTGCATTTGCCTTTGCAATGAACCAGAGTAGACCAAGTGTTAGGTAACTATTCAGTGTTTCCTGGGGGAGAAAATCTGTGGACGTCTACCCTCTGAAGTTTTTGGCATGTGTGATTTAAAGCGGCCATGACCTTTGTGGTATTATCACAAACACTAAGGTCAAGGACAAAGTCTAAGCATTGAGAGGGGAGGGCACTCTTTTCAGGTTTGTTACCCAAGAGATGCTGGCCCCATTCTTGCCTCTAAACTTAAATGGAAATAATTAATTAAAGGATTTTTCCATTCCATCGTTCTCTTTCCCTCCTAACTTGGTTGGGTGTAGAAAACTTCACTCTAAAGATGCTTCAAAGTTTTTGACAGAACTCCCTGCTAAATTATTATCGATGCATCAGTAGTGATACATCATAATTTCTTCCCATTCCACAACATTGGCTCATCTTTCAAATTAGTCACTGTTTTCACAGTGAAGGCTGTTAATGAATATTGTTGGCTGTTTTTACTTGTTCAGATCTTACTTACTTTATTCAGACCTTGAACGTTGAGAACAGGATGTAGAGGATAAATATATTATTTATCACATGATGTGAAATTCTCATCCTGATAGAGCTAGTGAAGAAATGCCATTATACAATTTAATGCCTTTCTTTACCATTGTTCTTTGTCAAGAAAAATTATTGGAAGAGGGATACATCCATAAAAAGGAAATCACATCAGTGTGGATGAAAATCAGGACAAATGTGATATTTCTTCAAGCCAAAATAATATATAAAGAGCCAAAATAATGTATAAAATCATATTTCTCTTATAGTTTCCAGAGGCATAAGTATTCCCTCATAGTGCTGGAGGAAATTGAGAGGCAGAGAGATAAGAGAGCAGTGTTAAGATGTGACCAAAGACATTAAAGTCATTGAAGCAAAGGATTTTCCTTGAGATGGAGGTAAAAGAAAGAGCCTTGTACAGCAGGAGTACCTTAATCTCCTGTTTTGCTTTGTAGACCTAAGATGGATGCTTTCTGTGGAGCTGAAATGCTCAGAGATACCTCAGAGAGCAAATGCCTTTAGAATACCGTGAAGTTTACACGATGGCACTAATTAAATTTTTTAATTTAAAAAAAACAAAAATTTGGCAGTCCTATGCACCCACATAGTGGCTTTCTTAATCTGTATCAAATTGATTCCTCAAAAACCTAAGAGTCAGTTTCTCTCTTGTGCTACCTATCTTCCAAGCCACCCTCTCCTTGACAGTGGGATGTTACTGTTAATGACCTTGACAGTGAAGCAGATCCAACACAATTAACTGAAAGTGATGATGAATAACTGCAGGAAGGATGGGTTGGGACATAGGAGACAGACAAGTGAAATGCGTGTAGACCTTTGCATCTGCTGCACTAGAACAGCTGCTGAAGCATGATACAGGGTAGTGAATATGTCTCCTCTATGCAGCAGCAAGGTCAATGTTAGCCAGAGTTGTCAGCTGCATAAATGCCAATTTCCAAAGTCAGGTTTCCTAGAAGCAAATTTTGTATATAGTGTTTGTGGTTAAGAAAATAACATTTTGCTTTTAAGACAGAGCTCTGTAAACTTGCTGACATGCAGTTCAATTCTTATCCTACTTCTTATTCTCCTGTTTGTCTCTCTCTCCCCCCTCCAGTCATACCTTCCTTTCCATACTGAAACATTTGTGTTCTTGACTGTCTATCTGTGGAATAACTTCTGCCTGATTTTGGCAAATGTGTTCTGTCAGTTTTAAGTGACAAGTCTCCCTGAGTGACTTTTGGCCCCTTCATAATGCTCAAATACTTTTAATGCAGTGTTTACATCTAATAGAATTTTCATATTGATGTTTTAGATAAGCAGCTGAAAATTATGATCAGAGTAAAGGCAAAAAAGGAGTTCTTTATAAAGATAAATCATTGCTGCATTTGAAGCCCTCTTTTTCCCAGATAAATAATATGTATCTATAGCAGAGTATTGTAATTGCTGAAGGAAGCAATAATTGCAGATGTTTCACCAGAAAGGAGTGAAGTTTGCTTATGTCTCTTCATTAATGAGTGAAATCAAAATCCTCAGCCTCAAAGTGTCAAGATAGATAATTATATTGCTACATCTATTGCTGATAGGTGGGAAAAAAAATGTTGTGGGCCCATATGATGCTGATTTATATCAACATAACCACAGTAAAGTCAGTGGAACTATGCAAGTTTATGCAAGCCAGAAAAGTGTCTAAGGCTAATTCTCATTGACTCTTCACCTTTTGCAATTCTTGCTTGCTTTTTGTATTTGGTGCAGAAAAGCATATGACACTTTGTCATTCACTTTGTTCTTTTCCTGGTACCTTTCATCTTCTGATCCCAATATTCAGTGTCAATGCAGCTACGGTTGCAGTTACAATCCCACCACAGAGATCCATTTGTGCTCACTTTTGTCCATTGCCATTAACATTACAGTAGATTTGGCCATTCGCTTTAAGGATTTTCAATGGATTTTGCATGAAAATCAATATTTAACCGTGAATTGTGTTTTAAAATTTTGCTTTCAAATGTAATCTTTCAGGGCATTGACAGGAAAATAACTGCTCACTCGCTTGCAATGAGTGTGTTACAAGCCGTGTATTGTCAGAACAGGCTTACACACTGCTGTGCAGTGCTACCCTTTGTGGGCTGAAAGTGCAGCTTCTCACTCTGCCCTGCACTCCCTCAAGGGGGACTGATAGCCTTAAATAACTCCTTTTAATCCTTTTGCAGAGCACCATTCCAGAGGATATAGTTTTTGCTTGCAATAACCCACTCATCCTGGCTGTCTTGGTGCAGTGGAGGGCAGGATTAGAATTCAAAGCTACAGTTCTGGGGAAAAATGGAGAAATGATCTCTGAAAAGAAGAATGAGGTTAAATATGAACACTTATAGGGTTATTACACAGTTCTAGGGTTATAGTAATTGACTGCACAATTCTGGGAGGAAAACAGCTTGTTTAGGGGGAGTCCTGCAAAAATGTATATGGATCTTCAGAGTTCATAAACTGAGCACAAGTCAAGAGAGTCAAGTTGTTGTAGTAAATAATAATGATCATCAAACTAGAATGAAAAAGGAAGAATATATTCAGTAAGACATGAAGTCTTCTGCTACATTTAGGTCTAGAGAAAATTCATCTAGAGTGTAATAAGCACAGTCTTGGGCAATGGTTTTCTGGAAAGATGTGGCTCAAATAGGGAGATACCGGAAAAGAGGAACAGGGATAAAGAGAAGACTGAATAAAATCAATCTTGAGCAAGTTTAAAATATTTGAGTTGTTTATTCCACAGAGAAGAAAATTGAGAGGAGACATGAAAACAGTCTTCAGATACGTAAGAGGCTGTTTTAAATATGAACAGAATAATCTGTTCCCTTGCCCATAGTAAATAGGCCAAGAAGTATTGAATTTAAACTGTACAAAGTAGTGAACTTAGACTGTTTACACCAGATCTTAAAAACATCTTTGTAATAGTAAGGCTAGTGACGTACTAGACTGGATTGCCTGGAAATCACCCAGTTAGGGGTGTTTTTAAGAGCAATTGAGAATCAGCTGTCAGGGATATAGCTCATCTTGCTCAGTCCTTGAGCTGGGGACCCTACTAGGAGGGATGGTTCCATTCCAGCCTGTGAGGGTACACAAGGAATCCAAATGATATCCTAAGAAAGGCACAACCCTGCCACTCAGCCCCCACGATCTCATGGTTTTTAAACTAATCTCAGTATTAGCAATGGCACAAGGGTGTTGGCTGATAATATTTAAACATCTAGCAGTTGACAGCACTAGCAACCTTAATGGAAATCAGTTACCTTACAATTGTCAGTGCAAAAATAGCTATGAAAGTACAGTTTCCATCTAAATAGAAAAGGGGAAAGAGAGGCATAGTTGGAAAAGTAGTTTGCCAACTGTTGGGATACATGTCAGTCACAGAACTAGGGATGAAACTCCATGCACAAGTCCAAGGGCAGCATTCTGGATCCTATTTTTTGTCACATCATGTATTCCAGTAAAGCCTCTCACCTGTGGAAGGGAGTCTGCAGAATAGGACTAGAGAACCTATATAGTTAATGAAAAAACATTTTTCCTTGGGTTAAAGGGGAGTTAGCTTGGAGGTCCTTTAGTTTAGCTACATTGCTTACAGTGTGCACCTGAGGGTTTATATTTAACATCAAGTCATTTGTATGTAAACACTGTCTGACTGAGCAGCAGGATCTTACTTTCAGCTGCATCCTGTCCCAGCTTGTCCTTGTTAATCAAGGACAAACAGAGCCCTGCATTCCAAAGGAGAGCATGTGGTTGCTCCTGTGGTAAGCTAGACTTACCTCCTTAGGTACCAGCAGCACATGGGCCATGTACCAGTGTCATGAACCTGCAGTTTTCCAGGACAATTACTCTCTAATGGTAATTCCAGCCTCCTCACCTCTTTTGCTAAAAAATTTAGAGGCTTTCCCTGGCACCCCAAAATTACATTCTAAGTGCTTTCCAGTCTTATAGCCTTTAGAATAGATATATTTTCATACATTTTCCTGCAGCCATGAAGATGAAGACCTTTCATTTAGATCCTTGCACATTCATTTAACCCCATGAGACCTGAGGCTTTAAGAACAACCTGCCCACCTTGAAATCTGTAATGAATTTTCAAGAGTTAGCAGTGCTGAAGTTCTCAGTGAACAAAGATGTGACACATCTCAATAAAAGAACAAGTAGAGAAAAAGTTTACCAGATAGAGAGGTTGTTCTTAATCAACATGTTTATGGGTATGCATCTAGCAGTCATTGGAGACAGAGATAAGACAACTGTAGGTTCAGTTAAAATATCATTAGGAAGTGCTGAGAGTAACACATCAATTTTATTTGTAGATGCTACCAATGAGTGATGATTTTTTTCCTCCTGGGGGCACCAGTATCTCTGAACTAGATAGAAGCTCTGTCAGAACAATCAATGCATGCTGGATATATTTTTCAAAACTGTGATTTGTTAATCAAAGTACAGTGGGCAGATCACGTAGCATTGCTGTCACTGGGAAGTGGATTGGAAATGACAAACTCAGTAGTGCTGGACTAATATGTTTACAGTCCAGATGCAATGGTTATTTTCACAAAGTACAGTGAGAAAGAAGAGTACAGAAAAGAGTTTGCTCTTACCATCAGATCAAAAACTACGAGCCAATAGAGCTTTTAAATTAATGATTGATATTTTGGAAATTCTGGCATATAGAAGGGGCTGAGTGATGAAGTGTAATATGGTAGGTAATTTCCTCCTAGGTAAAGTCTTGCACTGTGTCAAATACAGCTGCATTCACATACCTTGGGAAAACCTCCTTCTGCTGTGGCAGAGCTGCTTTTGGCAGGAGCACAACTCCAGGCCAGAGCACTATATGTAGGGCAGGAGATTACCTGACTCCTCTACAGTCATAGAAAGCCCAAATGCCTTCCACATTCTGTGGCATATCACAGGCTGGAAGAGCACTTTTTAGCACATGGCTCACTTCTGACTCCTTGTTCTTTTGAGTGTAAAAGTATGGATTGTCTGGGGCTGAGCTATAGCAAAGGGCAACGGATTTAAAAGAAGGTATCAAATCATTTTAATGGCAACCCTGAGGAGAAAAGGCAAAATGGTTGAATGAAGGTCGCATAAGTCATATGTATCCTAAAGTCATCTCCTTAAGCTGAAGGAGACTACTGCGTTTTCAGAGACTGCGTGCAAAACAGAAGTTTGGCAATAGGAATTGCTATGTCTCAGTGCATATAGGGGTTACTAGGATAACTATTATTTGGCTACACATTGCTACTAAAAAGATGTCTGCTGTTTAAAGCGGACATTTTGTTTAGCATAAGCTAAACAAAATGAAATCAGTCACAGCCTAACACGTGAGACTCCAGGCACATGGCCACCATATAAGAGATTTAGCAGGTCTACTTCACGAGTATCCCAGCACATGCCCAACACATCAGGTTCCTCACTGTCACAGGAACTGGGTCATTATGAGGGGCTGGGGCCAACCTCATCTGCAGCCAGCAGCTGTTTATTAAATGAGGCTAATCAAGATTATAAAAGTCCCAGCTGACGAGTTTAGAAAGAACTCATAAAGTCAAGTGGGCTTGGGTGGCAGGCCTGGGACAGTGGCTTATGCTGTAGGCTTGTTTGATTTGAATCTTTTGAATCTTAGCAAGATTGTTCTTGTAGCCTTCTAAGCCTATCCAGTCCAAGAAAATTCCTGTATTTTTGAAAAATACGCTGAGCCCTGGCATCTAGGTGCCTGATCCAGATTCTGGGCATGTTATTGGTGCACAAAAATGCATCAGCCAATGCTAACCTATGTTTATTATGAAAAAATATTATATAATTTATTATGTTTTTCAAACTTGGTCACATTCCTCACACGTCCCACCTGGATTAAACTTGACCCACATCATTCTTTTTATATTTTGTGCCAAGCTATCAGTGCCAGCAAATGATTTGTTTTGTTTTTCCAAACTCTTTCAGATCCCTTCTCCAGAAGTATTTGAAGATCTGATTAAAGTTTCATTCCACACAAATGTATTTGAAAACAACATCGGCTATGTGAGATTCGATATGTTTGGAGACAGTGAACTTCTAACCCAGGTGTCCGACCTACTGATAGAGCATGTTTGGAAGAAAATTGTTCACACAGATGCATTAATCATAGACATGAGGTAACTTTGAATGGCAAATAACCAAAGCTCTTTCAAAACAGCATTTTATTTGTAACAGTGAATTAGCTTTACATGGCTAACTGTCCTGTTCACAGGCTAACATTGCTGGGATTAAATAAGAAAGGAAAACAGCCAAGGAAAACAATAACAGTCTGGAAGTATATCTAAAGATAAATTGTACCATCACTTGAGATGTTTAGATCTAAATAGGCAAACTCAGGAAATAGGTTGCAGAATGCAATCCTGGATGTCACATGTGTTTCATTTCTCTAATTTCTTTCTAATCTAACTGTGTATGTGCCTTGCATTTTATATATATATATATGGCTTAAATAAATCTTTTACTTCATGCAGTGGTCAAGTAATTCAACAGTTAAAAAGGCAGACCATGTGTAAGGCTGTGTTACAACATCTAGTTTGCCTTATCTGCAGTGCTAAGTAATCCTGGGCAATCAGCTCTGTACAAAATGGCCCTTGTACACAGAGCACAAAGGTGGCTTAGAGGTGCTGTAGCACTCCTAGACCCTGCTGCACCAAGCTGCAGCATCACAGGCCTGCTCTCATCTTAGGATTCTGTTGGACACTCCAGTGTATAAACAATGCTCCAAATCTTACAAGCCAGAAGACGGCATCCATTTGTTGCCAGCTATCAAATGAGATTAATATCAAAAATATATGTTTCCCATACAATATTTAGGTAAGTAATGCCCTTTTTTTTTTAGTCCAGAGATAATGTCTGTGAGCTCAAAATACTACAAACATCAACAAAAGAAAAGAAAGCCTTTGTAAGAACTTGATTTGAATGGCAGAACCACTTGTGTCCATTGTCATGGGGCTCTTAATATTTGATAATCTTAATACTCTTGTGGGATTTACAGAATAGGCAGGAAAAGATGAGCACAATGATGAGAGCAGAGAGAGAGATCTCACTATGTGAGCACAGAGGAGGCAAGGCAGCAACAAACATAACACCCCCACGACTGAATTTGAATTCACCAAAGGCACCACCATCTTCCAACAGACTCGAGACATGACTCAGAATTTCCTCTTTCTTTCCCCAGTTTTCTCCCGTGCTAAAAATTTCAGGGCTGGGGGCAATAAAACAGCAAAGATGAAATCGTCTCAGGTACCAAAATGTGTCATTATAGCTCTTTTCTTGGGTTGCCTTGGTTTGTTTGGTTTTTTTTTTATATTTAATGTATTTCCAGTCCTTTGAGTGCACACAAAAGATCCAGTCTCTGAAGGCAAATAAAAGAGAATCCCAAATACCTTTTGAAATTCTCCCTAAACCAATCTTATTTTAAGGCAAGGCTGATGATTTAAATTTTGCATGGGATTAACTGGAATGAATAATGTTTCTCATTTTATGAGTTTTCCTCCCTGGAACAGCTGGGCCATTCGTGAACTTCATATTTTGAGAATTTTGATTTTGCATGGGATTAACCATAATGAATAATGTCTCTCACCTTAATAGTTCCTCTTCATGGAACAGCTGTGCCACTCACGAACTTCCTATTTTTAACCCTCGCAGCCTTGACAAGAGACACTGATAAACTGAACAGCTTCCCTGTTGTCACACAAGAAGTCTGTAAGAAGGAGTACTTGCACCCAAAAGTTAAGCTAAAATTCTAGCAACTGCTCAGGCATTGTTACTAACTAAAGCTACTGCAGTTTCACTGTGTGCAAGAGAGTCCCAGGAAGGGCATTCCAGCGTTGCTCTGCCTGCCAGTAACTCCAGCAGCTGTGGGAAACCGGACTCTGCTGGGCTGAGCTGTCTCATGGGCTGTGCAGCAGCAGCAGGACCTCCTGGCAGGACAGCACTTTACAGCTCCCAAATGCTGCAGAATAAAGACAGCTTCACTCTTCGGAACAGAGGCCTTCTGGATGGTCTGTTCCTTCCCTGGTGGTGAAAAATCTTAGCTATGGACTGGACTGAATAAACTCATTTTCTAGCAGGTTTTTGCTGGAACGTCTGTGCTAGGCACTCCTAACATCACCTACAGGAAAGCACGGTATCCACCTCCCATTAGTGGGAAAAGTTCAAACATTTCTAGTGCTGTATGTGCTCTAGTATTAGTGAAAAATAACAGGCAAAAACTAATTTGATAGTCCATTGTGTGTATTCATAGCAGAGGTTCTCCAAGGACAGACTTTTCAATGCATTTAATCTTCAGAGACTGGTATGGAATTAAACTGCAACCAAAATTTTCAAATACAACTGTGCTAAATGAAGCAGCTAACAAAATCTTTGGCACAAAAAAAATGGCCTGATCTAAAACACTAGGTTTTCTCGTTGTGTGTAGCAAAAAAATAAGAACACAACAGTTCCACAAACATATATTGCTTTAATTGGGATCTACTTTTATGTATTAGGTTTTAGACATTTAGTCCTTGCTGCTTATGTCAGGAACAGCACAGGTTATTCAGAGTAGAATAGCAAGAATCTGATGTTTCTCTGCAGATTAAGAGTCTTTGCTTACTTTCTGATTTTTCCTAGGTTAAATTTAGAAAAAAATAGACCTTTAAGTTTTGTGTTTGTTTTTGAAGTCCAAGTCTCTTAGGATTTTGTTTATCTGATAAATGTGCAAATGCTGATAGGGGAGAATGAATGTAAATGTATCAAAATGCAGCCATAAGCCCTTTCAGTACTGATGTTAAGGAACAATACCTGAAAGGAGATTTACTGCCTGCCACAAATTTTCAATTGCTTCTCTAATATTTTTTGAAAAGGTACAATATTGGAGGCTCCACTACACCCATAGCAATCCTATGCTCATATTTCTTTGATGAAGGACACCCAGTTCTCTTGGACAAAGTTTATGACAGACCCAGTGACTCAGTAAAGGAAATATGGACTCAGCCACAGCTCAAAGGTAAAATGATTATTTCTTTTTAGAGTAGCTTTTCATTTCAGATGTCTATCCTCATGTATTTTGAAGTGAGCCATTAGACACCAAAACTCATTTGGTGAAAGCACCTGCCACAGTTAGCTCAAGCTGTGTAGATAATGTAAAAAACAAAAAATGTTCAGCCATGTCCCTCAATGCCATCTGCAAATAACAGTTTATCACTCCTAGGAAAGGTGTACTTTAGGCACAGAGGTTTGTAAACTGGTCCCCAGAAGTTTAGCCAAATACTGTGTACAGCAGTTGTGACTTGTTGCTTTTAAAAGTTGCCAAAATTAAAAATAAATCCTGTGTTGCCTAGACCTGTAGTAATGTCTCTTCCAATACTCACATAAAGTTTTGTATGTAGCTCCTCACTACTTACCTGTGTAATCTACTATTTCAGTAGATGAAAACATCATAATATCCCAGTTTGTCCAGAGGATGCAAGAAAGAAAAATACTAAACTTTGCACATTTGAGTGAGTTTGGAGCATTTGGCAATGTGTCACACACACCACACACACATCCTGCCTCACTGTTTATAGAAGCTGAAAAATGTTGCAACATGCAGAAAAAGGGCTCTGCAGTGCCCATAAACTGCAGTGCTAAGAAGCCTCAAATATAGATTTTAATTCTTTTCCCCTTTTAAGATAAGACAGTAGCAAAAAGTCATGATGGTGTCTGCAGTTACTGGCTTGGAGCATGCTGAAATGGTTAAACTGTCACACTCTGCAAGGTCCATCTATTTTCCCAGGCAGTCAGAGGTGGGCTGTGCTAAGGATTTGATTTCTATGGACACATTCCAGTTCCCATCAAAGAGAAGAGGCAGACTCACATTAACTTCAAAGGAGCTGGATCTGGTCTTGTATTATATATATCTACTGTGAAAAGGGTCTTCTAATGGTTATTATGTCTATAGTGAAATGAAAAGACCAAAGATGGTGTGAAAATTAATTACCATGCTATGGCCCCTCTCTTAGAGTTTAGTATGAGAATTATATCTCATACTGTAACTTATAGAATATTTTTAGACCAGTTTAGAGTAGTTTTCAAGTTATTGGCTCCCAGTTACAACACACCGGCCACTTTTTCAAAGAAACTAAACTCTCAAAAAGTATCTAGCATGTTCAGATATATTGAAAATAAGGCGAAAAAACCTTCCTGTTCCTGTCAGCTAGTTTATGTAAGAAAATGAGATAACTTGGCTTAGATCCTAATAATAAAGGACTATTTGTTGAAGGGTTTGGGACAAAGGCCATGCAACAGCTTCTACTTAGAGACTATAAAAAAACTGTGGGAAACCACTGTAATTATCATTTCATAAAATAATGGATACATAGTTGCAGGCCGAGCTCTATGACAGCCATGTTCCTAGAGCAGGGGTGAGAGTGAAACTGAAGATGCTTCTGGATGAGCTTTGAGTATTCCTGCTGTTAGAGTGGAAAACATCATTTTCCTCACTGGTCTATTCCACTATTCTGATGGGACCTAGAGCTCCTGTAAAAGTCAAAGCCACAGAAGAGTGGTATCTATCAGTTACTACTATCAGTAGTATCTATCATAGTTACTACTATCAGTAGAAACTATGAGCTGGCCTCCCAGCTGCTGAAACTCATAGCCAGAAACTGATGGCAGAAGAGCACCACATAGGGAGACAGCCTTTTTTACAGTATAGAGGCTGGGCTAGTGTTTAAAGTGTTTTAATAGTATCATACCTACAAAGTAAATTTCCAAACTTCTTGAGTTGTTAATAGCACATAGGGAATGAAGCCTCTGTGTTGGCTTCTCTTCGCTCTATTTATACAAATAAATCTCTGAAAATGGATGCATTTCTGATGTTTTTTGTCCTATCTGACAGGGGAGAGATACGGCTCTCAGAAGGGGCTAATAATCCTCACTAGTGCTGTGACGGCCGGGGCTGCTGAAGAGTTTGTGTACATAATGAAGAGACTGGGCAGAGCTCTCATTATTGGGGAACAAACCAGTGGTGACTGCCATTCCCCACAGACATACCAAGTAGATAATACCAACTTCTACATCTTCATTCCCACCTCCAGATCAGTCATCTCTGCAGACAGCACTTCTTGGGAAGGAAAAGGAGTGCCTCCTCACATAGAAACACCAGCTGAAACAGCACTCGTCAAAGCAAAGGAGATGCTCAGTGCTCACCTACACAGCTCTAGATAGTCCAGTGGAGGAGCATGCCCCTGGTTTTTAGGAAAAGAGAGCTATCTTCCCAAACGTAAACCCTAGAAAGAAGTGGGAACTTCATTTCAATCCCTATGGTCAGTGATTGTATGTAGCTCAAAGTGACTCCTTTTCAACATGCTGACATTTTTCCCTGTTCTGTGGAACCCAGCTCTTTCTGTGCGTGGTTGAGATACTTGGATAATTCACTGGGATTTCTGGATTTCCCTCCTGTAGCCAAACATAAATGGTCAGTGTGTTTGGTTTTGAAGATTTAGCTAAAAATCACAGATTTTCTTTGGTACCTTAGAAAAATCCCAGCTGTCACTATTGATGGCATGTGAACAACCTCAAAGACAGAAAAGGCACCTCTTCTCCTTTGGAAATTGTGTACCTTCCTATTTATATGTCTTTAAGAATTAACAGTAGTTGGAAGACTGTTTTCCAAACTGCAAGAGCTAAATCAAGTCTCTTCTCCGTTTAGATGTACCAAAAATAACCATTCCCAGTTTGTCAGGGTTGCCCAGACTCCTGGTATTTCAAAGGTACATGCCTGCTTCTCTCTTAGTATCTGTCAAAGGGAGGGGAGAATGAGCAAGGGAAAGGCAGTACCTTGACTCTTTCACTCAGTGCTCAGATCAACTGTCTCAAGGAAAAGAATCATATGTTTTTACTTAGGCCTAAAAATAGGTTGCTATGTGTCCTGCCCTAAAGACAGGGGGAAAAAAATTTGAAAAAAAAAGATGAGAAATATTCTTTGCACCCTGCTAACAACCTACATTTTAAGTAGTGGCATATTCCAGGGCAAGTAACAGAGATACTGACATGAGCTTAAGCAATGCACAACATTCCTTGTCTTTCTTACAATTCTTAGTTGAACATCTTCTTTGTAATTCTTTAGTAGTACATGTAACTCTAATCTAGATCTCAAAATTTCTCATCTCTACAGAATGCCAGCTCTAAGGTAATTAAGTCAGGGAAATGGTCCCTCAAAATTCAATTAGAGTCTATAGTAGTTACACATTGGTGTTCGCTTGCTCATTTTTAAGTTCCTGCCATTTTTTTTATAAATTGAGTTAAACATCTGACTTTCAGTTTTTACAGGAAAATAATTTTAAGAACCAAGTAGACTTTCCATCTTTTTTTACTACTTATTTGTCTTACCAGCTACACTCAGTGTGATCACTAACCTGGACTCTTTTGACTCATTTTCATGTTCTGATTTTTATGCACTAGCTTGTTGTTGAACTTCTCAGTGTTGTGGAAAATATTTTAATGAATTAAAACTCATACAGAACTTGGTGTAAAGTGATACATGTATGAAGAATATTAAATATTCTTAATATGGAAAAAACTGGAGTAGTCAATGAGTAAAGAATACTAATGTGTTTCTTCTAATGTCTTTTAAGCCTCTTTAATGTCTAAATGATCCAGATATACTGCTTTGTTTTCCTAAAAACAATCAGTTGTGCTGTCATGTACAAACAATATTAATTATTAAACCCAATACTTAAAGACTTTAGCCATCCATTCAAGGACAAAAAGTTATACCATATGGGCACAAATAGCAAAACTTTCTTCCTGTAGTAATATGATACGTACTTATGAATAATAAATATGCCTAGAAATTGGAATCCAGTTGGGAAAACAAACAATGAAGATGCATTTGCTAGTGAGTTCATTTCAAATCAATAGTGCCGGTAGCTCACTGAAGTGATTGATTTCACTGGAAGATTAATGTGCAACCTTGAGAAATTTTATTACTTGACAAAATATTATTTATTATTTCATAGGTCATATACTGGCTAATTAATATTGAAACTGCCAGGCTTAACAAAGGCCAGTGTGTAAAAAACCCATTTTTTCCTGTCTTTGCAAAGTGCTATGTCATACTTATTCCCATCTCAATGAACTTAGACCTCACAAAACTACAGACAGTAATTGTGTAGAAAATTACACTGTATTGAAAGATTTGAATATCACAAAACTACAAGTGAAAATTAGTATGGAAAATCCATGGTTTGTGGCTTAAATGAGAAAGTCAGACAGAAGGTTTTTAGGGAGGGACAAGCAATTTGGTAAGTGCCCTTCCACAACACAACAGGAAACATGCTGAACCTGCCACTTTTCTCTCATCTGGTTCCAGAGCTGACAAGGGCATTCAACAGTTTATAGCACCATTTCCTTACCATCCGACCTAGAATAACTTCCTGAATTTTAATCCTAATCATGTTCCTTTTAAAGGCAGGAAGAAAGGAGCTGGTGTATCAGACCACCTAGCAGTATCATCTTTCTCCTTTTAGCATTCATAGAATTTTAACCAAAGAATGACAGCCAGCTTTTCCTTTTTTTTTTTGTGTTGCCCTAGTCCAGTGATTTCCAAACTGTGCTCTGTAGACCAAAGGGACCCCACAGACTGCACTGATTAGTGAAAAATTACCCCCTAAAAAGCAAGTAAATATGTATTTTTTGAAGGCATATCTGAGTGCCATTTCAATGGAGAAACACATCTTCATTGGAAGAAGTTCGAGGATCAACGATCGATAAGTGAACAAATATCCTAATCTGGCATTTCCTATTGGCAAATTCACTACCCACTGCAGAAAAACATCCTGCACAGCTAAGCTTGACAACTCTGTGTTGTGTCCTTTTTCACTGATCCAGAAACAGATGTCATGAGAAACAGTGGTTTGATCAAAATGAACAGGCAGTTGCTAGCAAAGACAGGAAAAGAACCAGTCAGCTTGTCTCCTCCTGTTTTGAAAACAAAATCCTTTTTTTCTTCCTAGCATTTCTACTTGTAGAAAAGACAGAGATCTCTGCTGTAAAATCACAGTATTTCACTGGGATAGAATGGAGTCCTTCATGAATTCCTTAAGTCCCTTCATTTCTTCACAAACCGCCTGCTCTAGCGGAGTCCTTTCCTTCCAGCAGGATTTCATCTGCACCAATTTAAATTTTCAGACTTCTAGACATAAGGGGAAATAAGCTTCCAGCATGACTCAATTATAGGAAGTTTGTTTTTCTTTGTCTCGTTAGGCTTCCCTCTGCCTGTGCAATACTTGGTTCACTCAGCTTTAATACGAATATTTTCATTTAAAGACATAAAATCTGCAAAAATTTTGGACAAGCCCCCTGGTTTATGTAACCCAGCTTAGATGAGACACTCAGTTAAACTTGAGACACATAAAAGACATTCACCATGCCTGCACAAGGAGCTTTACACACGAGCTCGTTTAACACATACCAAGTTCTGCTTCTGTTGGCACCTATGTGGGTTTGCCCTGATATCAGCACAGATGCAGCAGGTGACAAGATGTCATATTGGTTGGTTGTGTGTGTAAATAAGTCTTAGTCTACAAAGCACTTCTGCCCAGAATAAGAAGCAATCTGTTCACTCAATTTTTATGCCAATGGCCACCTCCAAAGGAACAAGGGTAATATTGCACACAGTTGCCTTCAGTGTGATTCCCATGTTACAAGAGGAAAATCCTCAGTATTTACACGCCAGGACCAAACTGCACTGCTGCTGCCACTGGAGGAGGTGAGCAAAGTACCAGAAATAAAGCTGATTAAAAACCTCTCCTCTTCATTTTTGCCTTTTGAATCAGCTCTGCCACTTTTCATAACTGGTTCCCTTGCCTTTCTGTGCACAGAAGACATTCATAGATTGCTTGTCATCACAGTATGTAAGTTGCTGTGGCTGAGATACGCCTACAAGGAAACTGGAAAGAGTTCTTACACTTTTTTTTTCCTAGAGAGAACAAATCAGTGACATAAAGGAAAGCTGTATCTCTCCCCCAACCTTGCTGCTTGCTTAAGCCTCATACCATAAGCAGAGTGAAGAAGTTTGATTACCGGTGAGCACTCTAAGGAGGCAGGTCTAACACACCATCAGAAGGTTTTGAGATTTAGCAGCTGTTTATCAGTGCTTGATTTTCCACACTTTCTCCAGATCAGTTGTACCAACACAAAATCAGCAAAACCATGTAACCAGTTAGATTTGGTAGTGCTTCATTCTGATGTAAACAATACACCAGGTGTAATGCACTGGAAAAATAGGCCCTTGTAGCAGGGTAATGTTGAAGTGATGCGCCAAAATAATACTGGGGAGCACTGTACAGCTGGACCCATCTTTTTCCAGAAGAAATCTGAAACTAGGTTTAAGAATGTTAATAAAACATGGCATCTTTCAGTAAGTACAGAAGAGAACATTTTGCAGCAATGGTACCAAAAAATTTTTAGTCTTATTTATACTGGACCAGTTTGATCTTAAAGTAATTAATGTAAATCAGAAGTAGCAACATGGATTTATTCTGCATTTACACTGGAATAAATGAGATCACAATCTGGCCTAAACTACTAATAGGAAATATAACCCTGACCACAGATGAATGCAGTTACACCATGGAGTCCTTCATTACACTTTATGGACACTGACTTCACAGTAAAGTGGCTGGCACTCAGGTAAAACCAGATGGAGTGAAATTTGGCCCATTAAACCTTGCCATAAATACATTCCTTACACAGTAAATGCTATTGGACACAAAGTAGAGATGGAAAGATTAAGAGGAAACCACACCATCCCTCCCCTACTCAATGCAAGGTTGTTCCCTGTGCTCTATGTTTCAAAGTCTTTGTTCATTTTGGTTTTTAATGACTCCAGTGAAAGAGCTTCCACCACTGACCTTGGAAAGCTGTGTTATAATCCAACCAGAACTCAAGTCTCAATTTATGTCTTCTGAACTCAAAGGCACAATGTAACAGTTTTATCCCTTTATGTTGCAAAAACGTTGGCCTGCAATAAGTCAAATGTTTACATTAACAGGAAACAACCATGTATTAATGTTCAACAGCAATGCATTGGGAAGAATACAATCTCATGACTTACAGAAATCTCCCAAGAGGTGACAATGAGTATAATATGTTGGTTCCAACTGACAGCCTAAGACTCTCAGGCTCTCTTTTATTGCTCAGATGTGTTTATGTGCTGATACTTGCATTATCAGACTAGGCATTGTCATGGGAACTCAAAATTCTGTCCAGTGTGCAGCAGACAAACACTGGAGTATATCATCAGTATGGTGGAACATAAAGAGAATATTGCAATGTCCTTTAGTCTTAGCTGGAAAATGAATGGTTTCTGATCATTCTTTGCCTGGAAGTGAGTAATAGCCCTTGATGAACCAGATGAGGCTCAGAGACAGGCCACAAAAACACCAGACAACCTGAAAAAATGCTATGCAAGAGAGAGAGAAGTTATTGCTTCAGGAACACATTGTCATAAGCTATCAAGAGCAAGCCCCTAAATGGATTTAAAAAGTAATGAAAGGCTAATTAGCTGGCTGCAGTAACAATAGACAATGCTTCTTCCCACCCAGAGCAGTATAAACTCATCTGCTTCTGGGACTAAGCAAAGCTCAAATCTCATGGAGAGGCAATAGAAAGAATTTGGCACTTTCTTTTTAAAAAAGCTGGAATTGGCCCATGTGGAAACCAGAGGACAGACAAGCTGATCTAATGCAATAAAATTCCTATATGGCTGTGTCATTTTGTGAAGGCCATTCATATTCCACCTGTTAGCAAAATAGATCCTATCATCCGCAATTAGTGTGCAGATTCTATCTATCAGTAGTTAATTGTAACTCAAATACCCTAGTTGCTTCCTTTGGTATATCCAAAACCTGAAAATCACAGGCTAAACTCTACCCCCGTCAGATCTATATGCCTGCTAAAGTCACACAGACCTTGCAAGCACATCTCAGGGTAGAAATTTCACTTCCTGTCTACACAATAATGTTGACAACAGGTCACATTATAATACAGATCCAGGCTGATTTGACTTTGTAAAAGATATTTCAAAAGCAGTAGAGCTTAGAACAGAACTCTGATATGCTGCTTTATAAGTCACATCCTCTTTGGCAGTCTGCGGGTCAGTTGTTGACGATCACAGATTTCAGTTAGTCTTAACTTCAGGTTCCTTTCAAAGCCAAGGAGATAGTGAGATATAAGTTTTTAGCTCACAAATCTGGTAAGAGAGCTGATTCAGCTAACATAAAGGAGTAAGAGTCCACCAACACTGCTAGAAATAGTAATTTCTTTTCTCTTAGCATATAAGCTCTGATTTTTTTAGTGCTCAAAAGTTCCTCATTCAATGAGGTGGTTGTTACTTCTGTATTTACATTGTACTACACAGACACCAGCAAATCAAATATAAGCAAAGAAAACTCTGTTTGCAAAACTATAATTTTGTTCCCTACTCTGCAAATTAACACTGCATGCGCATTCATTTCACTATTTTATTTCCTCAAAAATAGGTTGACAAGGGCTAGGTTGAGTTTTCAAAACTTACAAGCCACTCAT